AAAGAAGCAAAAGTGGATGTAGTATAGATGCAGATGTTGTTCGAGCCGAATCGAGTCATTCATGTTTAATCTTGTGCTCGTTTACCTTGTTCAACTAGCCCAATAAAATCGTAAATGAGTTGTTCGTGCGCACAATTTGTGCATTCGTGAACATGCTTGATTGATTGTTCGTTCGTAATCTATAACAAAATAAACGAGTCCTTCACGAACGAACTCGGTTTAACTTGTTTAATAAATTGACTCGAATAGTTTGTTCAAACTCTCACGAGTCGAACCGCGCTGATCACAATTTTAATTCACTCACTTTTGACTAAGTACAACATTATCGATCCACTATTTTTCTAAAGTTATAATTGGAGATAAATAAAACTAAATTTTCCTTGTGTAATTTAATTAAAATAAAGCAACTTTGATGTAATCTTTTGACATAACGGACGGTATAAATTATGTGTGACTGTATGAATTGTCAATTTTTAAAGCTGATATAATCTGTAAAACCACATAATATCATTCCACTTGTATATTATGTCAATAATTTATCAGATTGTTGACATGAAAATAGATTATTATCTCTTACCCTTCATCCATGTTCACATGTGTTCATTATACACAATAATCTTTGCAATATTATAGTATGAGAAGCCCACATGTGTTAAGATTACATAGAAACATTATGTATGCACATAAAGACACACACTTCTTCACTGTCATGACACATTGAAAGGGAAAGGCAAAGGGAAAGAACAAAACATGCAGAAACATATAGAAAGAAAGTGGACAATATATAGTGACTGATGGGAAGAAGCTCCCTTCCAAAATGTCGGGAGAAAGGGTCGATTTCGGTTAGAAGCTCGCGGGTGATGGTTATGGGTTCAGTTTGATCGAGCTTTAAAAAATTACGAAATCTTTGTACAATTGTATATATGTTGAATATTTAAGTATAAGATTGTTTTTTACATAATATATTTAATTGAGATCAGTTGAAACGGTTGAATTTTAGTCATTTACGAACAAAGTTTCGTGAGTAATTGAACGGGACTCTAGCATTGTGATCTGATTAGTCCATAGTAATTTCACATTTTTTATAATTGGTTAATTCGGGTACATCATTTTGGCCTAAAATTCAAAGTTCGACAAAATGGTGGCTTAAACTTGGCTAATTTGAGGATAGTTTTGATCGAAAATTCGACTTTCGATCGTAATTTAATCAGACATATGTGGATAATGTGTTGATTTTCAAATGGAATACATTTTCAATAATGCAAGCTTTTGAACTAATGAGGGATATTAGTGTAACATAAAAGGAAAAGAAGTAATGATTATGGACATGATTAATTACTCTATCTAGCATGCTATCGTGCCTAAATTCATCATATACCAAAATGATTAGTAACTAACATATATTGCATAAGCAAAGATTAATGAGAAAAATATATACTGTGTGTGTGGTTATTGAGTAGATGAGACATAAGTTTTTGCTTGCATAATCTTGAGACCCTCTTTTTAATTTCTGATTTTATTTTTAGACTTATGTTTGGTAAAACTAGCTGATAAGTTAGCTGATAGCTGATAAGTTAGCTTATAGCTTATTAGTAATTTTTGAGCTTGTAGCTTATGGCTTATGACTTATAACTGAAAAGCTAGCTTATATGATAAAAGTGTTTGGTAAAATTAGTTGATAAGCTAGCTGAAATAAAAATTTCAACGACCTTATTTGAAAAGCTACCAAAAAAAGCTTATCAAATAAGTTCGAGCTTTTTAAATAAGCTCGTCGTACCAAACGGAGCTTATTTAAATAAAGAAGCTTATAAGCTAATCAAATAAGCTATAAGCTAATTTATTGGTCTACCAAACATAGTATACACCCAATTTACAATTTTCTTTATTACTTTCTATTTGCAATACCTTTTTAAAATATAATAAAGGAATCAAATGCACATGGCAAATCATTTTTGGTCCCTATCATATATACTGATAAAATTCAAGAAATAGACAAACTCATGTGGACCTTGCGTTTAGTGTCTTAATCCTATTAAGACACATGGAGATTAGGTTTCTGGAAATATACTGAAACAAGCGTTGAGTGTTTTCTTTTTCTCCTTTTATTCGTTCTCTTGTTTATTAGTTTGTTTGGAATTATGTTATTATGTTAGAATATTGGATTACAATTTACAAAACTGAAAATTCTCATCTTGAAATGGTGTTGTTCATAAAATGTCATGCAATAACATTTTTTAAGAC